GACCAAGTATGCGTTTAAGTTGATTTTTTAAATTTAAGCTTTGTTTGCCAGTATAAAGAAGACACGAGTATATAATAAGTTTAGGTACAGTTGGTATCTTAATTGGATTCATTAGATTGATGTGGAAAAAAGAGACGTCCACTGGTCTCCTTACACACTTTGATAGCTTTATCCTGTTTACGTATAAACGAAACCTTGTTTCATGCTTACTAAACAGAGCTTACAACCTGTGCTCCACATATCTTAATCTGCACTCTGAAATTTCGTCCTCACATGACATCCTGAAACGTAACTGCTATCCACAACACTTATTAGAAAACATTACCAACACCTTCCTAACAAAGAGACTCACAAAAAGTTTTTTTTTCTAACATTAGGAATATCAAAATATAGATATATTTTATATGATAATATATTTTTCAGCATATTATAGATGATGCACTGAGATGTTCAGAAGGTGACCATTCTTTGAAAGAGATAATTTCTCTCTTGTCTATTGTTTCATGCTTGTCTAAGCATATTCAACCAGCAAGCCTCATCTTTAAGGAATACTTTCATTGGATCCATAAGCTGTGTAATGAACAAGAAATAAGTAAGCAACAAATTCATTATTTACCAATTGTTCAACTTGTATGTTGAGCTGATAAAGCTACTTTGAAACAAACTCAAACCTCTCTCTTAAGCTCTTGTAATCACATTTTGATTCCAATAGTATATTGTATTTAGGTAAATGACAAGAGGCACTTTTGAGAATAACGATTTTTCAACTATACAGTTGTACCTGAAAGATTGGTCAACAACACTAACTTGTGTGTTGATTTTCATTGTACCTAATAGCACAAGTAAGGGATTATTAAGGACTTCTGTTCCTCTAAGATGACTCTTCTGTCTAATCCTTGTTTAAAGAAAAAAGGTGCAGTATGTTGCTTTTTACATTGTCAAATAACTGTAGTAAATATGCCAAAAATGAAGTATAGATATATAGGGTACCTATTAAGAGTGAAAAATGACTATTAAACTCAATATAAATAAATTATTTATATGTGTAATTAGAAATTGTGATACTTATATGACTTAAAATGGCCTTCAAGGTTTTGATGAATGAATAAAATGGTAAACTTTTATTAATTCATTTTCATAATATTTTGTTGCAAAAGGTCATTTGAGTCTATCTAGCTTTTCAACTTATTCTAGGAAACTTAAAAATTCATGAAGCAGTTTTGTTGGATCTTACTGGTTCAACAAGAATATTATGTATGTAATTTCAGGAGTAACTGAAATGATTGGCCTAAAATGTGTTGTAGAATCAAATTATTCTGAAATTAGTGTTACTGTGCTTACATAACAATCTAATCACACTGTGTTCAGTTATTTGGCCATGTTTTCACTATCTCTCTTGATATACTTCTCACTTGAATTTATTTTTGTTTATAGTCAAGCTCTCTGTTTTGCAATATTAAAAATTTGATAGAGTAACTCAAAATATTTGATGAAAGTAACTAAACTATAAACTATATTTGTATTGACATTTAAAATGATAAGAAATTACCTCTGAAAAGAAATGCTATTTTGCAAGTTTCAACAAAAAATATCAACCAAAGAATCCCATGTGAGTCCTAGCAAAACATTATAGTCTAAAAAAAATAAAAAATATTTACATTATTTGAAAATACAATTTAAGAAAATCTTGATTTATGTGCTTTCTTTTTAAAAAGTGGTTCCAATTCTTTTAGAAATTGCAAGAAGTTACTATCTTTAAGCTAATGAAAAGAAAATAATATTAAACATTTAAGAAAATGTAGGTTTGGATCCAGTAACTAATGACTTTTTTTTTAACAAGGCTACTTGATTATGTCTACAGATTTTTTAAAAGTAATTTAGATCTCATTCTCCTACAATTACTTTATTTTGAAACACCTAAACGTGAAATTTGAAATGATGAGAAAATTGTTTCTTTTGACTTGTTTCCAAAATAGATAAAACATAATTTATTTTAATTTATCAAATGTGAGGTAATTTGAAGTGTTTTTTAACAGCCTGTATATAAATATTACAGATGATTCTGGTGTAGCCAAAGCTATGTTGTCTCTCTATTTAACTTTGAGTCATCAGAGTAAAGAGTATATCCCTGTACTAAGAGATGTAGCTAACCAGATTCATTCCATTCTTGGAGATATAACTGAGGTATGTATTACGATATAAGAGTAATTTCATATCAGTTTAGATTTGGAAAAAATTAGCTACAAATACTAGCTTTATTAAATAAAAATGTTTGTGTTGGATATTTGTTTAAAGCTACAGAAAGCTATCTGCATTAGCTATCTCTAACTTTTGGAATTTAAAAATCACCTACTCAAAAGCACTCCAAATCTTGGACTACTCTAATCAAATAGTGGGATGCAAATCCTGGACCCTGAAATACACAGTCCAGCAAACCAATCACTAGGCCATGCCTACTATATTCTTATTTTAATCTCTTTACTTTGTACAAAAAAATAACTTGTATGCAAGTATTCATCAGGATGTGAAATACAGGACAGAAAGTCCCATTGGACAAATAACTATTATAATTTATTTATAGGAACATTTCATCATCACAGGTAAAACTTAGGTGTTTATGAGACTCTAGTTTTGATTCATTAGAAGAAAATTATTCAATAATAGATATGTACAAGTTAGAGCAAAACATGGGTGAAAATCTGCTCGTACACAGTACTGGAACTTATTTTATCTCCTTTTCATCCAACCCATTGTTCCTTCTGTTGTACTGTCAGAAAGCAGATAAATCATAATTAACTCTTTCAGCATAGGCTCGACCTTGTAACCATTTTGTGCTTTTTATAATTTTCATGCTATAACTTTTAACTGAATGTTAATGAAATTTTGCAAATTATCAGCAAACATTACAATTCGTTTCATTTAGAACATAATTTACTTTCTATTTAACTAATGTTCTGAAGCAAACAATATTTACATTGGTTTGAATTGTCTTCATAATATTTTCTTTAGTACCAACTGTTGATTAACTTTTACCCACTATATATAATATTTACAAGTGCTTGATTGGTGGTCATAATTCATAAGTGTGAATCGTTTTAATGAATTCTTTGGCAAACTTAGCATCTTGCTAGTTTGGTTTGGCAAGAGTACCACATGATAAATTAAACTTTGTTACAGATGTTGTATTCATTAATTGCTCTTAGGTTTAGTGAGAGTGGAACTTGTTGATCAACAGTGTTGTAGAACCAGCAATTTGTAATTTTACTAGGTATGGTATGTTTTGGTGATATTTTATCGAGCCTACCATTTCATGAGACTTAGCAAGTATGGAACACCTTCATAAGCAGTATAGCAATGTATCCTCTTAGATGCATAACCTTAAAGCTCAAAACTTGTAATTTGTCAGTTAATTTTGATAGGCTATAATGAATATGATATGCTTGCTTAGAAACATTTGATTTTTGTTTCATTAAATAACCACAAACTAAGTGTATTATTAATCCAGTTTAGCAAACATCTTTTATAAACCTAGTATTGGCTTAAAGTATTTAATCAAGCTTTAATAAAATAGAGTTTAAACTACTTTTATTTGAAGGGAATTAAAAAATGTGTAATTAGGTAATATTCTTCATTTGTTTTGATAATAGTAACAGTTGAAATGCTTTTGCAGAAGAAAATCACCCAATGATAATTTTTCAGTAGATGTTCTTTTCAACAGAACAATAAAATTTATCTTAGTGGGCATGAATCATTGTTCATTCATATTAATTTGTCTGACTGATTCATAAGATAACATCTCATGGTATTTTGTCATTTCTGTGATTATTATCTGTAGGATGTAGAAGTGGAGAACAAAAAACAATTTGCAATCATCAATGAGAAAACAGCCTTACCCTTGGCCCATTTGATACTTTTTCATGCTGATCTTGTATTGAATGAAATAGAGTGGATTTTAAATCAGATGAAGGCTCAAATTACTGTTGACTCTGAAGCAAATAAAGGTGAATAAACTAGTTATTCACAAGATCGGAAGAAACGATGTTCATTACAGTCTTAACTCCATTATCAGCAGTTTTTTATCTGTAATAGTTCCAAACCACATTAGCTTCTTTTTTTTTCATGTAGTCATGTGTCTACTGATTTTTATTTTAAAATTTTAAAGATATATCTTGGATGTAAGGCATTATAATCTTTCACCCACTTGAAATGTATTAAAGTTTTAGAAGCTAAATTAAAGTCTTGATCTATATATTTTTGCATATGACTAATATATCCTAATTTATGTGTAATACTATAATAACCTCAACAATTCAGGAGATAAAAATTGTTAATTAGTGTTAGAAAAAGTTCAGTTTCTTTTTATTAAATACATATTTTTTTCTTGTAGATACTGAACCCCCAGAAAACCGAGTAAAGAGGGAATACAATCTCTGTTCACATCTTGGCCAATTAATCACAGTTGTCCATGAACTCATTCAGACAGCTTTTCCTTTAGGATCTTGTGCAAACACTACTTTGAAACTTGTCAGCCGCATCTATAACACCCTTGGAGTTTTCACAAAATATGTTGGTTCAGCTTCTGGTTTTAAGCATAAGATTAAGTAAAACTAGTTCTACAATAAAATGTTGTAAAAGTTAGAACAATGGTGTGTATAATAGTTCAATCAACTTAAGTTTATAATTTATTATTTTAGTTTTCTGTCTAATAGAATTGTTTGTTTGCAGTATATATGCGTGTACAACTTGAAAATTGGCCATTTGTGTTCCAAATTTGAAAAGTTGGTCAAGTTATCAAGCACACATTTAACTCCACATGTGGACACTTTCATCACATATGAGGTTTGTCAGCTTTGAAATTATTTTACGAGTATTTTTGTAACTAATGGTGTGATATGTGTTGATATATTCTCAGACACACAAGGTAAAGTTATTGCCATTTACTGTGCATGTCACGAGGTTTTAGTGACTTACATTCAAAATTTAATTAAACTACTTTTTGTTTATGTTATGTCAATTAGTATAGCATTAAATCGTTGTTAATAAGCCATATTTTAATAGTATATAGTTTTAAGTTCTTAATTTTATGAGGCAATATTTTAAAAAATCCTTTCCATGGTGTCAGAAATGTGACATATTTTCTCTAGGCATCCCTTCTTGTCTATTTTATTCACCACCCCTACAATAATTATGAAATTTAACGTAAATTGCTCATTATAAAATTGTCACTGCTCAGGCAAACCATAATTTTTATAGCCTTCAATCTTGTTTGGTTACAGAGCCATCAAATAGAAAATCAGACCCCTCATGCCACACCCACCTGTCACATCCTATTTTTCAGGATTTGTTAATAGTTCTCTCTTACTATTAATACCATATTATGTTATTTTCTAAACAGAGAATTGTCATTTTGTCTGTTAGTACAATCCTCTTTCACACGGGAAAGATAATGACTAGCTTGGATGAATTTGTAACGGCTTTTGTTGCATAGTTAGAAAGCCAGAAAAATTGCAATGGTTAGGGGAAGTTTTCTGCTTTTTGCATGTTATTATTCTATATTTTTTGGTGCATTATTTAATTAAATGAAAATTATTTAGTGCATTACTACCAGTAGTATAAAATAAGTAGAGTTAAGTGTTATCGACAGTTGACAGCGAACAAAAAGAAAACCTGGGTAAGCACTTTATTTCTTGTTTTTCATGTTTATTCTTTATTTATTATTATAAAAGTAATTAAAATGTAAAAATAGGGATCTCTTTGGGTTAGTTAAGGTTAGATTAGGTAAAATATACAATAATATAATAAAAACGTTACACGAGGCACACATGCGAGCAGCTTGGAGTAGCTCGTGGATAATATAATTCAATAGCAAAACATGAGCTCCATGTTCCCCAAGTGATTTACAACTTATAATGGCATAAACAGTAGTAGTTAGACATGGTTCAAAGGGCAATAAAACAATAAAATGTAAGTATAAATAGATGTATACTGTTAAGAGTTTAAAGCTACTTAGAATAAACGAATATAGTTTCATGTTACAATTTGAAGTCATTCTAGAAAGAAAAAAAAGAGTAATTTTAGATTTATTTCGATTTATATTTTTGGTGGTTATGAGGTCAGTCAAATTGACAGACCTTGTATAGAGTTAGGTTAGAGAAAATATCAGATAAAAAAAAATACTCGATATATTCACAAACAAATTTTTTTTTAGTTTATTAAAAATAATATGATGTTTTGTATGTGAAAGACTTATAATCTCATTGCTAGGCTTCTGAAAGAGCAAACTCCCAAGGGCCACTAAAAAAGAAGCCAAAAATGGACTTTGAGGCTCAAAAGGTATGATAGCTGTGGACTTTAATCTATACTTTACAAAATAACCAAGAGAAACTAGTGTATTTTATACCATCTACTGTATTCAACAGGAAAAGTTTTAAGAGGAACATTAGCTTTGACTATTGTACAGCATAGTGTGATAAATAGATCTTTTCAAAATGATAATTTATAAATTTAGCACTGCCATTTATATCCTTGAAAAAATTAGACTTCAGAATTAATAAAATATAAACCCTTAATGTTCCATTGTTGATTTTTTTATAATTTAACAATATTTGAAGCTTATATCACCATTTGTTTTTCATTTTGAATGGATTTATTCACAGTTATGGCATGATATTTTGAAACATCAAACCTGTTATTTCCAAAAATATAATGTTACCTTGGTTGTTTTTTGTTTAAGTTTTCTAATGCTAATTTGACACAAGAATGTTTTCTTGGATCAAAATCACATTTAACTCCAGCAGCAGAAGAATTACCTCAATATATCAAGTTTCATCAGGATGATTTTACTGCTATCCAAACAGTTTAACTTATTTGAATAAGGAACAAAATGAATAAAATAAGAATGTATTTGCATGTAGTTAAAAATGCAGGAAATTTCATATTTGAACTGAGTAACAATATTGAAATGTTTCGTATATTTGTGTTTTATATAATAAATAATAATTATACTTGCAAACATCTAGCCTTGTTTATTCTTAGTTTTATGTCACCAGTTTGTGTGCTTTCTGTTTAGAAATAACTTAATACCAAAAAATTGTACTCATTTAACCATTGTTGAAGTCTATTGATCAACAGACTCTGTGCAGTTCTTGTTTGTTATTTACTCGTGTGAAAAACATAAGTTATTTAACACATGGTTTTTAATGCTGAAAAATTTCATTGATTTCACTTTTTTGCATGATCATTTTTAGTGTTTAACAGTCTTTGAAGCTCAAATATATGATGCTATGCATAATAATACATACATATGCACTGTTTATAAACATGTTTTTCTTTTATTCTAACTGTTCCCTAACAAAATCAGTTGAAGTTTGTTAGGATAGGAGAGTAATATCTACTTGATTGGTTTAACTTATAAAACCTCAACACAACATAAAACATTTGGTAACCAACATATATTGGTTGACTGGTTTAACTTGTGAAACCTCAATCAATCATAAAATAGTTGGTGACCAACATGTATTATTTGACTGGTTTAACCCCATGATTACAGGCACCCTTGTACTGCACATGTCACAAATTGTTACTTTTTTACATTCAAATTTTAATTGAGCAATCTTACCCTCAATATATACCAATGAAATTAGCTTTAAAATTTACATTATAGTTCAAAGTTTTATATTATCTAAGTTTCAATTCCTTTATTTAAAAAACCTCAAAGAAAAATTCTTAAACTTCACAAATTTTTAACTTTTGGATTTTGTGGCTGGAAAACGACTTAGAAATACTAAACCTTCCATATATAGAAATAAACTAGGTTAATTGCTCTGTTTGCATATTCTTCTTTCAAGCTCCTTAGGGGACATTGGGAGAAATGAGAAATAAATATCTTGGAACTCTTTACAGATGTCACAACCACTTTCTACATATAGAGTTGCAATTTCTCAGCCAATTACACTTAGTTAAACTAGATGTTTGTAATCAATAGAAATATTGCATTTTGAAATACTATCTCCCAACAGTTAATTTAAAATTGGCACAAAGAATTCCATAGAGAACTTGTCAAACACTCTTAGCATTCCAGCTGCTTTTGTCCTCACTAGCACTTTAGCATTGTTTCTCTTCTATAAATATGTTAGTTGGATAGACAATTAGATTTTATTTATGTTTTAGTTTTATATTTACACTATTATGTGTTAATTATGTTTTAAAATGCATATTAGAAAGGTTTAACAATTTCTTACAATATAAGCCAAACTGCCTCGGTGTGTCAGGCTTGGTGTAGTAGGCAAATGTCTCAACATTCTGACAAAGGCTAAAGTGTTGTAGCCAAGGATAACGCCCCGAGAAAGCATTTTGACATATGTTGTGATAAGCAATAATGCTAGAGGATAGGAATGGAAAATAAAAGGTAAAAAATATACTAAATGCGAAAAAGTAAAAACATAGAATTAAAAATATAACTGAAAGAAGATTTTCAAGATTATTTGACAAAAATTAAAAAATATGTTCATTTTTTTCTATTTTTAATTATAAACATTTCACTGCACAATATGTTGTTGATAATACTCTATTCAGAGCCTGAGTGCAAATAAGTAGGATAAAAAAAAAATACAGTTTTTTAATTAAAATAATTTCATTCTTTGTGTACAAAATACTTGTAAGCTTTAGCAAAATCTTACCAATTGTTGTGAGGATACATTTAGAAACCTCAGAGTTATCCGAAATATTGTTGTACTGTGTATCATTCTCCATACAACATATGCTCATTGGTTATGCCCCATCTCCATAGGGTTAACCTGTGAAACCTCAACCAATTGTAAAATAGTTGGGGACTAACATGTATTGTTTGAGTGGTTTAACTTGTGAAACCTCAGCCCAAAATAAAATAGTTGGTGGCCAACATGCAGGAATGGATTAAAGGTCAGATGGGTCTGGGGCTAAATATTTCTACCAGGCCTACTATGATTGTGACTAATAACTAAGGTAAAAACAAAACAAAAAACATTATAACAGGCCTTTTTTTTAGCTCAGGCCTTGTGCTACAGCCCCAATAACCCCCGCCTTAGTTTGCCCCTGTCAGCATGTATTATTTGACTGGTTTAACTTGTTAAACCTCAACCCAACATAAAACAGTTGATTAAAATGTATTATTTTACTGGTTTAACTTGTGAAACCTCAATGCAATATATTGAAATAATTCATAAGAAAACAAATAAGCTTATTTTAATTTACCATTGACAAATTTTTTCTTCTCTGTTATTTTATCCAGGTCCAAGTGATGAAAGAGACAAAATCTATTCCACCAGTAATTTATTCTAAAGAATACTATGAACAATTCTTGGTTCAGTTGACAAAGAAATCTAAGGTAGATTTCCAGATTAATTTTAGTATGTGCCATACCAACATTCAACAATTACAAGTACCTTTAGAATGCTGAGTAGTGATATAGTAATTTCTATCAATGTTTAAATCTTTGTCAGAGAGTTTGTTAACAAATATATGAAAACATTAACTTTTTGGTAAAGTTTTACTTTTTCAAGTTTCATTTTAGAAGATAGGTCAAAAAATGTTTTGGACAAAAAATAGAATTTAACTAAATTGAAAACATGTTTAGAAGAAAGCTTTGACACTCGAGAGTACTTATTACACTTATGTTTTGGAAATTGTAAAAACATTAATACATTTTTTTTGTTTTAATATCTTAAAATGTGTATGTGAACTTATTATTTATAATGAAGAAACAAGTAACAGGGCTTACATATACTAATTATGTAATTTTATTGGTCATATGTGCTTTGACTTGACTGTTAAAAAGATAGCCAGTTTTTTGAATAACATTTCTGTTTATATTATTGATGTTATATATGAAGTAATTTTTAGCATGAATTTTTTTAGTGGTTTCACTTTCAAGAAAAATACATATACCATTATTTGAAATTCAACACTTATAAAATATCACTGTATCATTGTCCTAGGTTCTTGACTATTCTAAGTTTTTAACTAACCCTTTCAAAGTTTGAGAATCTTTCACTATTTCTTTGAGAACACTTTACTGATCTATGTTACAAGTTGAGGTATAAATAGTTGATCAAGTTTTGATGCTTATTCTGTTATGTTTAAGAAATTTGTGCATTTACTGATAAGAATATGTGGTACCAGTTTCATTGGATTACATAGAAATAAGGTTTAAAATACATGTGTGTGTGTATGTGTACAGATTTCAGATTTTTCATTTCTCTTCTTTGAAATGAGAAATTAAAAAGTTATTTCTGATACAATACATTACCACCAATCACATAAATAGCTATTCTCATTTAGTGTTGCCCTCCATATACAAAAATGTTTTCACATGCCACAAGCCTTGAACTCCCACATACATCATGATCAACGTGGCTCAACTGCATCTAGCATGTAAATCATCTTGCGCCATCCACCAGTAGGAGTGCGACACACCTTCCTGATGCATGTGATTCCCTCTATTCAATTCTGCCAAACTATCATTTCTCATTAGGCAATGACTGAGTGCAGACGTTTTTCAATTGTGTTCTTTTCATGTGCTCATTTACTTTTTTTTTAGAAGTAATTTTTGTGATTCATTCATTAACTACCGTTATTTTTATGCAGTAGTTTGCCACAATAACTTACCTTTGTGTCAGGCTTTTATTGGGCTGTAATTCTTTACAGTAGGTGTTTGTGACTTGCTGACAATAAATGTCAACAATAAACGGACAGCACACAAGCTACTTGTCTTAAAATAATATATATTCAAACATATGTACAAATATTTGTTACACTATTGTTTACCACAGTTGAATCTAGAGCTTTAAATAATTTGCATTTTTGTCAAAAGTCCACACAGTGTGGTTCGGTTACTTTAGAATCCAATTGACAAGACGAATTATTTCTTCTCTCCTCTTTTATCACAATACAATCAATGATAAATTCACTTAAGTTATCCTGTAGATTACCACAGTTGTATCCAGAGCTTTAAATAATTCTCTTTTACATCAAAGTCCACACAGGCTGGTTCAATTACTTTGAAACTCAACTGACAAGATGGGTTATTCTTCTCAATCTTCACTGTTACAATATAGCTGTGAAACACACCATAGAAATCACTACTATAACTGTTGTTTTGTATCCAGAGCTTTAAATAACTGTCTTCTTTTTGTCAAAATCCACACAGGCAGGTTCAATAACTTTAGAACACCCTTTGATAAGACAAATTCTTCTACTTTATCTAAGTTATTACAACTCTGTTAAACTCTCAGTTTATAAATTGCCCATTATGGCCAAACTGACAAATATGCAGTTTAACTTCATATTTACTTCACTTAACTTGCTGTATCCACATGTATTTATCACACATGACAGAAAAATCTAGAAATATCTAGCCCTGTAGTGACAATAATATTCACATCACGAGAAAACTTAGAAGCTTTGAGTAAGATCATGTCAACAGTATTACAAAAGCCTAGTACAACAATCAAACTGCATACACAATGTACGACTGTCACAACTATCACCCCCAAAATAATTAACTATTAACACTCTTGTTATGACACTAAATAATCATTAAATATTAAATCACTAAGTATACTAAATATTAACTTAAACTAAACAGTCTTGTATATCCAACACTTTGTTTATTGATATTTTCTTCTTCTTAACAGTTTACGATGAATTCTGAGGTTTGTGTTTTATAAGTTCTGATATATTTTTACCACTACTTTGAGTGCCATTACACAGGCTTTAGGTCTGGGGTCTCAACTGGGGATTTCTTGGCTATCATTTGTCAGGAGATTTATAGTTATAAGAGTCATTCTTCTTCTCTCAAAAATGTTCGAGTTCTTCCTGCATCGTCTGAACCTGTTCATGATGAGGAAGCATTTGACAGCATTTTTTCTCCTGACTATGCTGTACTTTCCCATGCCTCTCCTATGGAATCTACTAGGCTTAACTGTACCTTTTTGGATATGCTTTCTCAGATGTGTCCTATTTTCATGGATTTCATATAATACTGTCCCTTCATTATTACATGACACCCATCTTTAGAGTACCTTGTTTTTCTTCCTTTCCCTGACATTAGGGTTAATGCTGAGTATTTTGTTTCTCAGTTGAGGCCTGGTGTTAGAATGCCTTATCCTCCATGGACTTATTATTATTATTATTATGATCAACCCTTTCTTGACTTCCAGCAATTTGAGTCACTTTTGCCATTGTTGGGGGCTGTCCCAGAAAATCCTATCTATTTCTGTCACGACCAGTTTCTCACTTTCATCTTACCCTTGCATCTCTTCTACAGTATTTGTCCAACATACACCTCCTTTCTACATGATGACAAAACCTTATCAAAACATTGTACATTTGCTGTTATGTTAAACTTATATTAAAGTTTTTCTTCATTACCCATTCAAGCCGTCTCCAACCATTATTAGTCATCACGGCGATTAATCGAGGTTGTGTAAGTCTAAACGTTTATCTTTGTTATTCCATGTATAACTTTTTAAGTATGTT